GACTCCTAGAAACAAAGATTAAGAGACAAAAGGCTCAAAAAACTACTCTTAATCTTTATAATTGTTGGTCGTTTACAACAAATTTAACAGCACATCTAGGAGGGAGAATATGGTTAATTTGGAAGCCAATGGCTTTCAATGTAAATGAATGCTTGTTTGAAGAACAAATAATCCATTGTGAAGTACAACATAGAGGCACAGGGAAGTGGCTTAACATATCAATAATGTATGGTTTCAATGACCAAGCTCTTCGCAGAAGTTTATGGAAATCAATAGTGGAGTTGAACAATAGGGTTAAAGGACCATGGGCAGTCATGGGGGATTTTAATTGTATTCTAAGTGGTGAAGAAAGGGTTGGAAGGCCTGTCACAATGGCTGAAGTAAGAGAATTCAAATACTGTGTTGAGGCATGTGGGCTGCAGGATCTTAGATCATCAGGATCCTACTACACCTGGAACAACAAGCAACAAAGAAGTGATAGAGTCTATAGCAAGATAGACATGGTACTAACCAACCGTGAATGGATAGTGGGCTTACTAGCATCAGAGGTACATTTTATGAATGAGGGACTTTTTGACCATTGCCCTGCAATCATAAATTGGGAAGAGGAGATCCAGCATAAGGGAAAACAGTTCAGATACTTCAATATCTGGAGCCTATCACCTTTATTCTAATAGGGGATCAAGGAAAGCTGGCAGCCATGTATACCAGGAAGTAAGATGTACCAACTAGTTGATAAATTGAACAGACTAAAAAGAGTCCTAAAGGAACTAAATAGAGAAAAATTTAGTGATGTAGAAAGGCAAACAGATAGGGCATGGGATAAACTATGTCAATGCCAGATAAAATTGCAGAAGGATACAAGGAATATCACCTTGATATAGGAAGAAATCCTGCTAGAAAAGGAGTATCAAGAGTGAAAACTAGCTAACGACAAGTTCATGAAGCAGAAGAGCAAGGTGCAATGGCTGAATTATGGAGACTTAAATACAAAGTTCTTCCACAATTCAATAAGAGCAAGAAGGAATGACAATCGAATTTTCTTTGTGAAAGATAATGAGGGTCAGCAAAGAAGAGGTACAGAAGATATAAGCAAGACATTTATAGATTACTATAGTGATCTACTTGGGACTAAATCTCAGGATAGAACACCTGCCAGTAGTGAGATCATCAACATGAGACCAAGGCTAAACAATGCTCAAAGGGAGAAGCTGGAGCAGAATTTTACAAAGAAGGAGATCAAATAAGCTTTATGGGAAATCATTGGAGACAAGGATCCCGGGCTTGATGGATATGAAAGCTAGTTCTTCAAGGATGCTTGGGGGATAGTGGGCAAAGATCTGGAAAATGGAGTCTTAGCATTCTTCAGGACAGGGAAAATATTAAAAGGGGTAAATGCAACCGTGATTACTCTGATTCCAAAGAGTACCCATGCAGATGGAATAGAGGACTATAGACCAATATCATGATGCAACACTATATACAAGGTGATCTAAAATATGCTCAGTAATTGACTGAAAGATATCCCGCCAGACATAATATCAGTAAATCAGACATAATGAAGCAGATGATGGCCATATACAGAAACTTCCTGTGGACTGGACAGGTAAACACAAACAAGACTCCTCTGATTGCATGGGACCTTCTCAAAAAGTTCTCCAAAATTCTAAGAAATAAGTAAATTTCTCTGTCCCGAAGTGTTTGGGAGAAACATGAAATTTATCGAATCGCACAACGTCAGGCTAATTATATTAAGAATTCTTTTCAGGTTCTGTGCGGAGCACAACCATTTCACATCAACTCATACTGTTCTGTTTTGTGCTTGCAATAGTTGTGTGACGCACAATCCTTGTTCTAGTCTTGAGATGTTTCTTTGCCAGTTTTGAGCATTTCAAGCCATTATATCGCTAATACTATGTCTCATATCACCTCGTTCGTCCATTAACACCAATTTAATCACGTCATTAAATCTCAAATGACTTTCAAATTAGTTATAGAACATTAGATTTTGAAAGCTTGGCTAAACGGACTATAAATTGTATTACCACTTTAACTTTTAGCTGATAAGATTAAATAATTTAATTTAATGTAAAGCCGAGTGCAAGTAAGTATTTATCTAAAGTATTGTAGTTGGTGCAGACTTCAATATTAGATAGACATAAGAAAATAAGTTTGCGAAGGCATAAATGTCCTATATTGACTGAAATTCCAAAATTCTAAGAGTTTTTGTTGAGGGGGATAACTCAAATGTAAAAATCCTTACATGAATTTGCTCTAAACTGCTTGCTGGGGCAACCCGAATGGATTGGGTTAGAAAGGTTTCAGGGCTCTAATATTTTTTTGTTTTATTTATTCCAGAGCACCTTAAAAGTATTTTATAATTCATTCATACACAATTACATGACAAAAAAGGTCTAAAAGATTTGTAAATAAATATTTTTTAGAAATTAAAAATGAAATATTAGCACTGATTTTTATGTTAAATTAAATTACTATAAAGGAAAAATAAACTAAAATTTATTTTTGCATCTAGTAGATTGTTTGAATTCGGAAAGATATTTTCTTTCCTTTTTAAGCTACTGAAAAGATTGTGTTTTGATATAGACATTAAATAATGACTTCATATTTAACAAATTTAACGTGTTCGCACGGAAAAGAATTGCTCTTTTTTCTGGTAAATAAACTCGTTTGTACCATAAGGATATTGTTGCTCATGTCAAAACAATATCAATTCCTAAAATCTTTTTTAAGGAAAAATATTTTCTTAATTATCTGTAAAAATGCTTTTACTTTGTTTTGTTTCGACTCGATAACATTTTTTCCTTTTCCCTACAGTTTGACTTTTTATCTTCAACAAAAATCACTGTGCTCAAATTGTTATTTATCTTTTTTAGATGGTATTTCTGCTTTCCTTTTTTTTTTCTTCAATTTATGTTGTTAAAAATTTAGTCAATACCTCAGTTACATAAAATTTAACTCACAACAAAAATTTTAAAATAAATTTCATATGCAATGCCTTTATAGTTATCTTTTTTCAAATGCTCATGAGAATTTGATACAATAAAATAAACTAAAATAAAAAAGTGATAAAAAGTTTAAGTTGCTAGACTACTAAAGAATAGGTTTCGTCCTCAAACTCTTTTCCTTTCAATCTGTACAAAGCGATAACAATCCAATAAATATATGACACATGCATCCACAAATATTAAATATGATTAACGTTAAATGATAAATATTCTCAACTTAATTTATTACTTAACCATGAAAATTAGTTTGATTGTGTGTAAATGCTCGATTTGGTTAAAATATTAGCGTGCAGAACCTCTTATTTGGAGGAAGTCACCTAAATTTTGTTATTTTTTGCTTCAATGTTGTACAACCACGAAACACTGCAATACATGCATAAATATGACTTAACACGTTAAAGAGACAGAAATCAGTAAATATTAGTGAATAGCAACCAAAAGAAAATGGAAAAATGGTGCAACTAAATTTTTTGTTAGCATCATTCTTCCCTCTAATTTTGTGTTAAAAAATTCATGTATCACTCCAAGTTTAGACTAAGGATATTCTTTCCCTTCTATCTCAAGATCTGATTGTGATTCTAGAAATAAAATATCTATTTTAATTTGTGGTTTGGATTATCAACATCCCCTTCTTAGTTTTATCCTCTTTCTTCCCTTTTCATTTCACCTTAGTCCTTTTTCTTTTTACCTATACTTTGTTGCGCACTTGTTCCAAAACTTACCGCTATATTAAATTAACATTTATATTAGTGTTAACTACAATGAGTATTTTGGATCTCCACTTGTTGCACGTTTATTAGCATTAATAAAGTATTGATTAGCAGAAATCTCTTTTTATTTTTTCTTTCTTCTTTTGTTACTTGGAATTCGATTCATTCATTGTTTAATATTATTAACAGTTAAACTTGATTACAATTTTTTTGCTCCATGATTAATGGTTAGTTATAAATGCAATTACTATTCGATGGTAGGATATTAAGATAAAAATAGGAGAATGTCTGTTAGGCGTGAAAAATTCGTTAAACTATCAGTATGTATAACTTAAATTATAGCTATATACAAAATAACCTTTGTAAAAGATTGAGCTACCAGGAACTATTCTCAGAAGTAAGAAGACAACTATTTTAATTTGCAAACAATAGATCGATGGGAGATTTAATTTGTAGTGTATTACAAATGCTATTTTAGTAATATGACATTTTCCATAGGAGATTACTAAATAATAACACACACTACAAAAAAAAAAAATAGAATTAACTACGAATTTCGTCATTAATTTATCGCTAAGTTACTCGTAGCTAATTTTTAAAAAAAAATATTTTGCCGCTAATTCGTCGCTAAATCGATTTAGCGACGAATTTTTTTTAATTACAAAATTTGTGCGCCGCTAATTCTTATATTTTTTTAGTAACGACAAGAGGTGTAAAAATAACACATGAGATTTTCGTAGAGTCAATTATTTTTTTATTTAAATTAAAAGTGGACTATAAGATCATTTCCTCTAGCCATACTGAGATCCAAAATATATCAAGGACTCATCTACAATATAATGTACCCATATTTATAGGGAAAACGGTTATTGTATATTATTTATAGATTGACATAGATCTTGAGTCTTACTACAAAGCAGCTTCTTTCCTTAATGTCTTTTTACCTTTTCAGTATAATATATAGCCTCTAATACTCCTTAACTTAATGTCTTTTCAACTTTTCACTATAGCCTCTCTAATATTTCGTTTCTCTCTTAGTATTTACATTCTCTATTCCTATCAATAGTTTTTGTTTCCTACTCACTTACTATATTTTATTTCTGTCTCTTATACTGCCTCTAGTGACCTTCTCTCTTCCTTTTTCTTATTCTAGGGTTTTTAGATTCAACCATCTTCTCATCTCTTCTTACTGATAGTTATCCAATTTTTTCTTTTTTCTTTTCTTGAGGTAATTAGCTCTTGTTTTCTTGGATTTTTATCCTATATGGAAGCTGATAATCAAGAAGAGAATCATGAGTTAAAGAGTACAAAGAGATCTCTTCAAGAAATTAATAGATCTTGTGAAAAAGCTGTTTTTAGTGGTGATAAGAGTAGTTTAAAAGTGAAGATAAAGATGCCAAAGCTTGAAGAGGTTGTTGAGAAGGAGGAAGAAAAAGAAATCAATGGTGGTCAAGAAGAAGAAATCTTGAAAAAAAAAGATCATATATGTAGTGAGTGTGGGAAACAATTTAGCTCAGGAAAAGCTTTAGGAGGTCATATGAGCAGTGCACATGTTCAAGCAAATAATAGAGAAGAATCTTGGAAAAATAAACAACTCAAAGTCAATAATTATGGTCAATCTTCAAAGAGATCAAGAATCTTGGTAGAAGAAGAAGAAGAAGAAGATGGGGTTAAGAAAATAATATGTGATCTTTGTGGTAGGAATTTTCCATCAAAAAAATCTTTGTTTGGTCATATGAGATGTCATCCTGATAGAGATTGGAGAGGTATGAAACCTCCTAATAACAAAGACAACTTCAAAAATAAAGGGGTGTTAGTTTTTCCAGCTAATAATTCCCTTGATGATGATGATGATAACGACGATTATTTTCTTAATACTCAAGAGTATAAAGAATTACATGAGATTGAATCAGCTAGCAATATTAATGTTGCACCTGCTTTTCCAAAGGTTGATTTAAAAGATTGTTTGAAGAGCTGGGCTGTGAAAGATAAGCGAGGGCGATCCGCCAAATTATCATCATCAATCTCAAGTTCAGATGATAAAGAACTTCAGGATGCTGTTCATCAGCTCATAAGATTAGTCAATGGTGTCAACAATATCAATACCCCGAAAAATCGCCACACGAAAACCGAGGAATTAGAAGTTATGTGTAGCAATTCAGTCACTCCTGATCTTCCATTGAAGGATAAAGCTAAAGGCAAGAGAAAGGTTGATGATATAGAGGATGATTATTGTTCAGGCATTGAATCAAAAGATTGTTTTGTCATGCCTAACAAGAAGCGATCAAGGCCTCTTCAGAAGCAGCAACAACAACAAACTCAGTGTAATTCCACAAGTGACCAACAAATTAAAAATGTGACACCGGGGAAAAAAATGTGTAGCATATGTGGCAAGACGTTTACAAGTCACCAAGCATTGGGAGGTCATAGGTCAAGTCATAACAAGTTCAAGATGACAATCGAGAATACAATCGATCAAGAAACTAAGATAAAATCTGCAGCACAAGATGATGGATCCGAGATTAATATTGGCAATGCTAGTAAAGTTCTTGATTTTGATCTTAATGAGTTGCCTGATGTAGATGATTGTTATAGGTAGAAATAAAAGCACATTCTCTGAATTTACAAATTAGGGTTTTTTTCTTTTTTTTTTGGGTCTTTTGCTAAGATCAATATGCTTCCCGTTGCATTGTTTAGGATTTTTGTTATAATTATTATTGAATTAATGGCTAGCTTCTCCTTCGGAACAATACATGTTTTATTTCTTATTGAAATTTTGTTCTCTTATTTTCTCACAGAAGCAATAGAAGGTAACCAATTGGGTTTTAGTCTTCGCACCTAAGGTTCATTAATACATTCCTTTAATTAGTTGATTTATTTAGATTTTCTTCCTTTTTAACTCCTTCAATTTACAAAATGAGGTCTTTTCTGTTTTAGTTATTTTAGGAAAAGTTTTTAACAAGAAAATTGATACCGGGGTGAGTTATCTTTTATTCCAAATACACTTTGAAGAGTTTTTTATTATTCCAATTACAGTTTAATGATTTTTCTATTATTCCATCTACTTATATTTTCTTCCAATGTTTAGGAAAACAAAGATCATTCTTCTTTCTAGTTCCATCAGATAATTCAGTAAAAAGCACGTTTAAGTTTTGAAACAATTAGAAGGAAACGATGAAACGATCGAATAGAGATGTAAATCAATCGGGGTTCAAAGTTTTTAATTATTCGCGTTTCCGAATTAGAATTATTGAGAGATAACACTGGTTGAGAATATATATATATATTTATATATATATATATATATATATATATATATATATATATATATATATATATATATATATATTACAACAACATTAACTTGAGCTAGACCATGCGGTGGTTATCCACATAAAAATCAGCATAGGTTGTAAAATATTTGTTTGGGATTTGAGGAGTCAACACATAAAAATCAAAACTAATTAATACAACTCAGTTATTCTTTTTTGTTTATCTAAAAAACAACATCTGCATAAATTATGTGGTAGTCTAGTATTATTTTATGGATGAAAATTGTGGATAAGAATGGAAATATTAGTGTACATAGATTAAAAATGCTAAAAACAAAACTAACCTCATAATGATAAAAGATATTCTTTTGTTTAAAAAGCAAACAAAATGTTTAAATTGTAAATTATATACTCCCTCCGGTCCAAAATAAGTGATTTTTTGGCCTTTTTTGTGGTTCAAAATAAGTGATTTTTCCAGATTTCAAGAATGAATTAATTATTTTTTTCCTACATTGCCCTTGGAGTAAATAGTGTTGGAGTATGTGTTAGGAGTGTTTATGTGAAGAGATAGTAAAGGTTAACATGGTCAATTTCATTGATAATTAATGTTACAAGGTGAATTTCTTAATCTGTGTGAAAACATTTAAAAAATCACTTATTTTGGACCTGAGGGAGTACTAATTTGTAATATATCAAACTAAACATTCCTTAACAAATAATCCCTACACTGTATAATCCTTACATTATTAATTCATATTTGCTTCCGACATTACAATCTATGCATTACTAATTTTTATATTACTAATTCTTGCATAACTCGTTTCTACGCTAAACGATTCATATTTGTACAAATGGGCTCAATAATAATCATTGACTTGTTAAGTGAAGTTAAAAAGAAGCTAAGCCAAGACTCATAGTACTGTCGACAAATGAGAGAACGCGGCGATGGGTTTACATCGATGACATAATTTTATATATGTTACAAGTTCGAATTATGTCGTTTCGACAAAAAAGAAAATAATAGAAAAATAAACGTTGAACCTAACTTAAGAACCTATTAATATAAATCAGTTCTTATCCTTATTTAACACCTCTATCTCACATCACAGCCTTCACTCATGATACTATAATTGTACAATTATCACTTCATGTTAAATTTTTAAAATTAACTTATATAAAATCACATCTAAAAGGCTTGAAACATCATGCTACAATAGCCCGACGTGGGAGCCAACAGAAAAAGAATTGAGTTCTAACCTTGAAAAATGAAAAGTCATAGAATGTACGGCAAGTTGTACTTCCGTAATAAAATATTTCTTCACTAAGAGCCTGTTTGGAAAGCCACATTGAAAATGAATTTAGGTGTAATTGAGTGTAATTATACAGTTTGACATGTTTGTTTGGTCAGGTAATTACTTTGTTAGTATAGAATTGGGTGTAATTGGAGGGGTGTAATTACACTCTCTTATTCTCAAGAGGGAGGTGAGAATTGGTGGTAATTACACTGTGTAATTACAAGGTTGCCATTTAGTTTCATTCTTTTTGTTTTTATTTTAATTTATTTTCTTGATAACTTTTTATTTCTACTATTTTAATTTTTTAATTTTATTTTTACTTTTTAATTTCTTTTGAAATTTTAAATATATTTTTCTTTGTACATTATTTTATCTTTTATTTCTCTATCTTCACTTCTTGTGATTCCATAATTGCTTATATTTTATTTGTTATTTATTTTATTGTTTTATGTTTTGAAACTACACCTCCTAATATTAGAAATAATGAGTCATTAATAACTTGGCATATAATGAATGATGCAATAAAAGTGGAATTCCGTTGTTGAATATTGTTATAAACTAATATGTTTCCTAATCTTAAGTTGCAGTGGGACTTACTATTATTATGTTGGAATTTGACATATGTTAAACTATTTTATTTTTGAAATTGTGTTAATTTCATGATTCCAATTTACTTGTTTTAGTAGTATTGGCTCATTGCATGTTGTTCTTTTTTTTTTTTTGTTAGAATTGATAGATTAGTTTTGCCAAACATTTGAATAATGTTATGACACTATATTTATAAATATTAATTTATTTTATCAAACATGAATTCCATGATGTTCTTACAAAACGTATATTTTATTTAGTTTTTGTAAGTATCTAAACTAAATATTATTAATTTAATATATATATATATATATATATATATATATATATAAATTATTCTTACAGTATTGGTTATAAATATATGATTACAAAATAATTAATGTATATTCACGAAAAAATATACATCTTAAATACCAAATATAATATCAATTATACTTATAAAAATTTATTGGCATATATTTATTATATTAATTTGTAAGTTTTGATAATTAGTTAATTTAAAATTTAATCTAACAGTGTAATTACACTTGTGCAACCAAACAGTAAACTTGTAATTACACTGTAATTACACTATGACAAACAAACATGTCGACGTAATTACACAACTGTGTAATTACTAGGCTGTGTAATTACTACCCTAGTAATTACACCAATTATTACAGGGTGACTTTCCAAACAGACTCTAACAGTAAAAATTTAGTGTGTTTATTACACTTTATAATAGTTTAGGGGATAATAAAAATCCTGCAAAGGAAAAATGTGTAGTTGGAAATCCCGGTATAGGATAGAGATACTTATGCATTTTCCCATTAAATAATAAATTAAGGTGAAACTATATGAATTATTTAACTACGGTTTAGTGTTAGTAGTAATAAATCCAGCAACATTTTTTCCCCCAAATATAGTCAAATTCAATTTCAAACTTGAGCATGTCTTTCCTTAGAAAAATTTTCTTTCACAATAACTAGTTTTTCTCTCACAATTTTAGTTCCTTGATTTGGGCGTGTCCTTTTTTCATATCTTCCTTAATAACATAATATCTCTATTAATAGGCATATTAAATCTTCATAAATCGCACGATATTCTTTTTTTTTCATATGTGCTAGATCTTCGCTGGATCTTAGCAAATCTTTCTTCGTTGAACAAACATGTCAAAAAGACTACAAATAAATATTCTTTGATTAAAATACAAATAAATATTCTTTGATCAAAATTGTATCAAGTCAATATTGAGCTATCACTAATGAATTTGTTATCATCCAAATCAATAGGTGAAAAGTTGGAGCTAAGAATCTTTATCCTGACCGAAAAAAAAAGAATGTTCAGGTAAGTCAAAAAATTCAATAACAACCTATACTAGCTTATTCTATTGCTCCCTCTATATCAATTTAGATGAAACACTTTTCTTATTAGTTCGTTCAAAAAAGGATAACATATTTCTACAATTGAAAATAATTCAACTTTAAACTCTTCATTTTAGCCATTTTACCCTTAATGAGAAGCTTTTATAACCACACAAATATAATGGACTCACAAAGCTTTTACCCCTTAAAATTTTAAGACCACAAAAGTCTTTTTTTCTCTTCTTAATTTTTGTGTCGAGTCAAACTAATATAAATTAAGGAGTACACTTTTACCTTTGGCAGGTGTGATTAAATACGAAGAAAGATTCTTTCAATAGCAAGATGTTATAAACTTGTATTCAAAATAGTAAATCAGAAAATACAAACTATATTGAAAAATAAATAAACGGAAATGTTAAATAATTCCAAGCCCACAGAGCTTACTGTATGTCCTTACAGAATTTAATCCCCTCAGCGTTGCCCAAGATCAGCGACGGAGCTAGAGAGCGAGGCGCGGGTTCGGCTGAACCTAGTAAGTTCGGTCCAAACCCTATATTTGTCTTAAGAAATTTATTTTAATTTGTTCAAATTATTAATTTAGAACTCAATAACTTAAAAGGGCTAAAATCCTAAACCCAGAAACTTCAGATTCTAACTCCGCCTCTACCCAAGATTATGGATTATGTTATCCCAAAAAAAAAAGGGAACACTCTATTATATAATAATGGCGCTTCAAAGTTTTTTTACAGAATTTCGACGAACTCAAATGACGAAACAGATCACACTTGACACTTATTTTTATTTTGAAAAAACAAGAAGAGAAGAGAAGAGGGGATAATTTTTGGTGCATAAAAAATAAGGTCAAACCTCCGAATCTTATAGACAATCCAAAAGCAAAAGGTACATTTTCTCATTCACACCTTAAGAACCCTATTCAAGAAAGAATACATAAACTTCACACGCTCAATATTTTTGCAAAGCAACTGAACTATACAATAGTATCGACAAAACCGTATCATATAAATCGAAATTTTAGAATCCATGGAGATGAACTATTGTAATACCTCTCATACCCTTACATAAATCATAGCATGCACTTCG